GTCGGGATTGAGGAAGCAGGAGGAGAAGCAGGAGGCAGGAGGGGGGAGGGGAGGAGACAAGAGGGCAACCTGCCCACCCGAAATTCAACGGGAGCCTACCGTGTTCCACCGCAGACCCCCTGTGAACCGCTAGTCTTCGGCAAGCTCCTGCGCGAGAGTTGGGCGGTGTGGTTTCACAAGCGGTCAGAATCGAGCACCTGACGCGGAGGTGGGGCGAGGGAGGGAGCGAGGGAGGGACGGTTCGAGCACCCTTAGCCGAGAGATGAGGAACCCATACAGCGGCGCGGCCGCTCTACCGGGCTGCTCCGATCAGACGCGCCCCCTCAGCGTCTTGCGCTGAATCAGCAAGGCCTCGCCTTCGAGGATAGACAGCGCTTGTTTGAGCCCAGAGATTTCGGCAGCGCGGCGGTCCGCACGCTCGGCGTACGTCTCGGGCTTCGCGACGCACATGTCCTTGAGCTTCGCGAGGTACTCCAGCACTGCGTCCAGCTCCTCCTGCGTCGACGCCCGATCGGAGGTTGCCTCGACCACCGCCTTGTCGAGATCGGCAGCCTCCTTCCCCTGGTATTTGACATCCTGGTCCTTGGCTGTCTTCTCGATCTTGTTCTGCATTGTGGTCGACGAATACTCGGACGCGGCGCTGTCCTCTGTGGCGGTAGCTTCCGCGAGGCTCTTGGTGAAATCCGACAGACAGACTTCCAACAGCCCCAGGATGCTCGAACCAGCATCCGAGGCCGCCGCGTGGTCCTTGGCTCCACCGCCGTAGTACTCGCGCAGCGTCTTCATCGCCGTCCGCACGCCCGAGATCCCCGTCGTCAGCTCTTTCTTCTGCTCGAGGAAGAGTTCGTTCTCGGCAGCCCTCATCTTATCCATCTGCGCCTGCGAGGCCGCCAGCTCGGAGAGCTCCTTCTGCAGAGTGGCGATGCTGTCCTTGAGAGCAGCGGACCTGGCAGTCATCTGATTGATCTTCGTGGTCAATTTCTCAACCAAAGTGGTCTTCTCGTCCTGCTTGTCCGTCGTATCGGCCATCTCTGTATCGCAGTACTTCTTGTGCTTGGCGTCCGCCCCAGACTCGGCCTCGAGCTTCTGGATCATGTCTCCGATGAGAGACTTGACCTTTGTGAACGGGTCCTCGCCGCTCGCGGAGCTGAAGCGCATCGCCGACGACATGCGCTGAGCGAGTTGCGCCAGCGCTGGCGAGTGGAACCTGCGCCCGAGCTCGCGGACAAAACGCGCTGCCTCGAAGTTGGCCAGGTCGGCCCCTGAGCGGACGGCGGCGCTCGAGCGGCCCAACTGCAGAAAGGAGGGGGTGGTCTGGCTCAGGCCGTAGGCGACCTCCCCGGCGCCGCTGGTTGTCTCGGACAGCACCTTCTTCGCCGCCTGCACCGCCTTCAGCTCCTCGGCGCGGCTCGAAGCCTCCGCGGCGTAGTCGTCGGCGTGGGCTGCGCAATCCTTCTTCAGCTCCTCGAGGGCGGCCTTGTCGCCCGCCAGGTCCTTGGACCCGGCAGCCAGCGCCCCCTCGGCCTGGGACTTGGCCTCGCCGCTAGCGGCGGCGGACTTCTTGGCCTCGCCCATGTCCTTGGTGGAGAACTCGATTTCGTCCTTGAGCGATTGAGCGAGCATCTCAAAATTATGCCTGGCCGAGGTCTCCTTCTTGCGCGAGGCGTCCAGCTGCGCGGTCGCCTTGTCCAAAAGGTCCTCCAGCACGTCCACGATGCTGCCGCTCTTGCTCGTGTAAGTGGCGGCCTCTGGGGCGCCAGGCTCCTCGTCGCTATCCTCGCCCCCCTGGGTGTTCTGCACGAAAGATGTGAGGGTGTTGGCGTCGGCGGCGCTGAACGCGGAGGCCTTCACCAATGCCTGCAACGCCTGGATCACAGACGCGGCGCTCTTGACCTGGACGAAGGCAGCTCCACCGGCCTTGGACATCTCCCTCTGCAAGATGCCGATTGCCCTCTGGAGTGCGCTGATGGTATCAGTGAGCTCCTTTTCCTCGGCAGCGAAGTCCGAAGCTTCTTCTCCCCTGATCTTGGTGGCCGCCGCAAGGTCCGCGTCGTTTTTAGCGATCGTCGCCGCCAAGACTTCCACTTTGCTGGTCAGGGAGCTGATAGTGGCGGCCTCCTTGCCGATCGCTGCCTTCAACTTCTCAACCTCGCTTGACCCCGTCTTTATCTCGAAGCCGAGGTTGACGGAAGTGTCCTTGCACCACCCCTCCTTCTCGCTGTTGAGCTTGGCAGACTCTTCAGCCTCCCTCTTGATCTGCGCCTCCAGGTTCGACAGAAGCTCGATCACCTTGCCTATGGGCGACTGGCCAGAGGCTCCTGCGAGCGCCAATGCGACGATGAGCACCCGCGTGTACTTCATTGCCTCGATAATGAGAACGGGAAACGTAACACACACACACACACACCCTAACGGAACCAACTGGAACCAAACTGACTACGGAAAACATGAACAATCACGAAAGCGCAAGTCACAACCCGCTCTATTCGTCACCGCGCCCCGGTATCATGCCAAGGGCTGTCCCGTAGGGTTGATACAATCTTCGAAGCCCCCCCCTCTCAACACAATCCAGTGCTTGCATCGACCCTCTTTCCCCTGGCAACAAAAACGGTCCGCGCCCCCGAGATCACGACCCCTCATATAAAAAACAACGGGTCTGCGCTTCTGAAACCACGAACCCTCGTAGAACATGGATCCGTGCTTCCATGGCCACAACCCGTTGTCAAGAAAATCGAAGGGCGCGCTCTCCTAGTGCAACGTTTCCATGTGTTTATCTTGCCGAAAGGCCCACCCGTATGCAGCTGCGAGCGCCGCAATACAGGCAGTAGGAAGGAGAGGGGCGAGCATACCAGGAGTGGATCAGGACAAATCAGTCTCCTCATGAAAGGCCACAATGGCAAGGACCACGTACGACTCCCTGCCCATTCCTGCACTCCCTTCACACGTTTCGTGGCCACAGAAGGGAGCTACACCGAAGGCCCGTGAGGCAAGATCCACATACGTCTCCCCGCCCATTTCGGCGCACCGCTCAGTCGTCTCGTTGCCCCAGAAAGGGAGCTCCACTGAAGACGATTTCCACACTTCCAATCGTCACGACTGCATGTGGTCCGGTCCTTCGCCAGGATGAGGTCTGAGTGATTGTCGGGTCCAAACCTTTTGTGTTCTTGAGCTCAAAGCCGCCCTAGAGGCCCGAGGAAGCCTCCACATTGCCCGGTAATCTTTCAAGTCGGCCTCCAGCCAGTCCAGGACGGCCCCAACAGAGCCCCAGATTGGCCCAAGAGGGCCTCCGAGGGTTGGAAATGTACAGAAGATGACCCCACGGCGGCCCCAATGGAGTTAGTAGACGACGGCATAAAGGGCCCCAGGACTGCCCAACAAGGCCCCACGGGATCACCAAGACTGCCCCGCAGGAGCCCAAGACAGCCTCAAGAAAACCCGAGCGAACCACATCGAGCTCCGCAATATGTGAAGGCGAACGACGGCCCCGTCCACTTCCCCCTCGTCAACTTACCCCATTTCATGTTGCACCTCGCGCTTGTCCTGGTGCTCCTCTGCCTCCTCCTCCTCCTCCTTATCCTTTTGTTCCTCCTCCTCCTCGTTCCTCCCTGCTTGTCCTCGTTTGGTTGATGTCCCCACCCCGCCCCATGACGACCTCACGTGACCCAGTGCAAACCTTAGACGGTCGAGGTATGACACGTGATGGCCTTATGATACTTGCCCAAAACGTAATGCACACTATAGGTTTCATGCAGCCCGGCTCACATGTTACAGCCTGCTGCCGCCATCGATCAATCGCCTCCAAGAGTACTGGGCAGACACGGTGTCGGGGTTTGCCACAGATGCCTAGGTAACGACTTGGAACTGCAAAGGGCATCGCGCACGTCGGTCCATCCCCCCCGAGGGCGACGCGAGTGTCTGGCAGGCTCCCCGCAATGCGCAGCAGAAGGGACCGATATCCACAAACGACTTCCAAAGACACGCTTGCACCTAATGGTTCTTGCGTGCTTGCGAAATTGAGACGTGATTACTCATATGTTCAGATGGCTCCAAGCGGTCTGCGGCCGTAGTGTCCCGCCCCATGGGGTCCGAATCCAATATAACCAAAACGCAGGATTGCTTGAAACGAAAAACCAACTCCATCTGTGACACCGTCTGGACAAAACAAATGGCACAAATACCGAAACAACGCCCGTGATCGCAAACAGCTACATCGACCAAGCACACCAACGTTCCCCTGCGACGTACCCAGCCGATATGCACGAAATGACAAGAGGGGCTGGTCCAGAAAAACGGATGATGATAACATAGGACCTGCCATTGGTTGTGCAAAGTGTATGGGGGACGCGCGCGTTGCACGGCTCACAAGACAGCAACATCGATGACTGATGTCCCAAGTTCGGAAAGGAACTGGGGGTGGAGACGGCAAGCAAGAAAAAGGACGGTCGAACGAACGAACACTAACGCGACAACAGCAGTGGGACGGTGGACGGAAGAAGAGGACAAGGAAAGAGGTTGATGAAGAAAAAGGGTGATCATTTTCCAACGGCGCGCTGGAAAAGCAGCACGGCCCGCGCTACGTCGCTCTGGCGCTCCAAAGGACCAGCTGTTCATCGCCAGTGCAAAAAAGCGAGCGAGGCCGAACGGGACCGCCATGTTCTCCGCTTCCTTGCCGCACCTTGCAGCGCGGAGAGTAAACGCCCGTTGGCGCGCCGCCAAGTCTTTGGGCGGGAGTACGCGGAGTACGCGGATCCAGGCGGGACCTTGCAGCCCCCTACGCGGCTTGCAAACTGTGCAACTGACGCCATCTTCGTAGGCTCCTGGGAAGCACGGCGGGGTCTGGGAGTACGCGGATCCAGACGGGACGTCGCAGATTCCTTGGGTCGCTGCGAAATGCGCAGCTGGCGCCATTTTCGTGGCTTCCTGGGAGGCACGGCTAGGTCTGGGAGTCCGCGGATCCACATGGGACCTCGATGCTCCATCCTCCCGCAGACCCTTTGAAGTTTGTCAAAAAACCTTGTCCTGAGGCTAGAGGGCCTTCAAAGGGCCAAGAAAGCGCCAGGAGGCTCGCAAAAAGGCGTCAGGGCCTTCAAAGGGCTCAAGATGGGCCCGCAAGACGCCCCAAGAGGGCTCCGAGAGGACCCCCCCAGAGGGCTCCAAGAGGCAACACGTTGCTTTCCATCTGTCTTGTCAGACTTTCCCTTTCTCGCCGCGTCGGGCTGCCGACGCTCCCACATGGCCCAAGATGCTGCCAAGATGGCCTCAAGATGGCCCAAGACGGTCCAAGAGGCCCCCAAGAGGCCTCCAAGACGGCCAACCTGGGCCCCAAGTCGGCCCAGAGAGGCCTCTAAGACGGCTGCCGACGGCGTCAGACGGGCCAGGAGGCTACCAAGACGGCCTAAGATGGCCCCAAGATGGCCCCAAACGGCCCAAGAGGCCTCCAAGAGGACTCCAAGACGGCCCAAGAGGCCTCCAAGAGGCCCTCCAGGCAGGCCAGGAGAGGCCCAAATCATCGGACAGCTCGCCCCTTGGCCCCCGACCACTCCCAAGCTGCGGGCCCAACACCGCGCTGGATGTGTGGTCATTGCTTGGGCGCCCAGCACTGCATCACGCGTCGTAGGGGTGCTGGCACCGAACGCAAGACCACTCCCCTCCTCCCTCCTCATCCTCCCTCCTCATCCTCCCTCCGCCTCCTCCTCCGTCCTATCTTCCACCTTCACCCTTCCCAATCATCCGTCATCCTCGTCCGGGCCTAACTCTTCCGTCGAACTATCCTCACCCCCATCCGCACCCCCCTGTCGTGAAACTGACAGCGACATATCCTCATCCTCCTGGCCTAAAGCTGCCAACGAAGTGTCCTCATCCACTGGCGTAAAACTGCCGGCGTAATGTCATAACTCCCCTGGCCTCACATTGCCAGCGATGTATCCTCACCCCTCTGGCGCCACACTGCCAACGACATATCCTCAGCCCCATGACTTCAAACTTCATTGGACATATCCTAACCCCCCTGGCCTTAAACAGCCAGCGAAATATCCTCTCATCCTCCCTGGCCTAACAATTGCCACCCAAATATCCTCCCACCCCTCGCCTGAAACTTCCAGCGAAAGATCCTCACCCGCCCCGGCGAAACATTGCCAGCCAAATATCCTCACCCTCCTGGCCCAAAACTGCCAGCAAAATATCCTCAGCCCCCTGGCCTAAAACTAAGATCCTCATCCACAAGAAATACAACTGCCATCCTGCCATCGAAATATCCTCACTTGCCTGACCTAAAAACTGCCAGCAAAATATCTTCACCCCCTCGCCTAAAACTGCCAGCGAAATATCCCCACTCGCCCTGGACTAAAACTGCCAGTGAAATATCCTCACCCGCCCTGGGTTAACAACTGCCAGCGACATATCCTCACCCTAAAACTGCTATCGAAATTTCCTCACCTCCCCGGTCTAAAACTGTCATCGAAATATCCTTACACCCCTGGCCTAAAACTGAGAGCGAACTATCCTCACCCACCTGGCGTGAAACTGCCAATGAAATATCTCCATCCATCGGAAATAAAACTGCCATCGAAATACCCTCATCCCCCTGGCGTGACCAACGAAATATCCTCATCCCCCTGGCCTAAAACTGCCAGCGAAATTTCCCAAAGCCACTGGCCTACAACTGCCAGCGAAACATCCCCACGCCCCTGGCAAAAAAAAAACTGCCAGCGACGTATCCCCAACCGCCCCTGTGTAACAATTGCCAGCCAAATACACTCAAATCTTCTGCTAAGACATCTTCCAGTAAGAAATTGAGATCCAGCTTAGCTGAATTTCTTTAGCCCTTTCGCGAGAGCCAGCTTTGAAGCGTGCAGTTTCTTAGCGCAGCGCGGCGCCAATGTTGGTGGCTTTGATGCAGAATCCGCCGGTGATGATGCCGTTTGCGGGGCCTGGGGCTCTGCAGCACTGTATGAACCACTACATGCAAGAACATGAGAAAAAAAATGTGGCGGTGGATCTGGAAGAAGACCGGAGGGAAATCTGAAGGAAGATCCGGAATAATGTCTGGGGAACGTATACAGTAGTGGAGAAATCTTGAGGAAGATCTGGGTGAAGATCTGGGTGAAGATCTGGACGAAGATTTAGAGAAGATCTGGGGGAAGATCTGGACGAAGATCTGGAGAAACATCTGGTGGAAGATCTGGGGGATATCTAGAGGAGAGATCTCGAGGAAGACCAGGGTGAAGATCTGGGTGAAGATCTAGGGGACGATCTGGGTGAAGGTCTGGGGTAATATCTGGAGGAAGATCTGGAGGAAGATCTAGAGGAGAGATCTCGGGAAAGATCTGGGTGGATATCTGGGGGGAGATATGGAGAAGATCTGGGGGGAATTCTGGTGGAAGATTTGAAGAACATCTGAGGGAAGATCTGGAGGAGAGATCTCGGGGAAGATCTGGGTGAAGATCTGGGGGAAGATCTGGGAAAGATCTGGAGGAAGATCTGGAGACACATCTGGAGGAGAGATCTCGAGGAAGATCTGGGTGAAGATGTGGTTGAAGATCTAGAAGATCTGGAGAAACTTTGGGGGAAGATCTGGGGAAGATCTGGAGAAACATCTGGTGAAGGACCTGGCGGAGAGATCTGGAGGAAGATCTGGGCGAAGATCTTGGTGAAAATCTGGGGGAAGATCTGGAGGAGAGATCTCCCGGAAAGTCTGGGTGAAGATCTGGGGGATGATCTGGAGAACATCGCGGGCAAGATCTGGAGGAAGATCTTGAGAAAGATCTGGGGGGAGATCTGGAGGAGAGATCTCGGTGAAGATCTGAGGTAACATCTGAAAATATATGTGAAAGAAGAAACGTGGGAAATCTGGAGACAGATATCGGAAACTATCTTGAGGGAATATCTGGAGCAGGATTGGGCGGAACATCTGGAGGCAGCTCTGCGGAGATATGTGGACGATGATCTGGAAGAATATCTGGAAACCCAGAGGAAGATCTGGGGTGCGAAATGAGGAAGAAATGTAAGACATCCAAAAGGAAGGTCAGGAGGACCAAATGACGGAAGAACTGGGGGAAGATCTAGAGGAAGACCTTGGGAATGATCTGGAGGAAAGTCTGGGAAGAAATCTACGACAACTGGCGAACGATCTTGTGAAGAACAATCTGAATGAAAATCTGGGTGAAAATCTGGAAAGACAGCCGGGCAAGATAAGGGAGGAACAGGAGAGGAAGAGGAGGAGGACGAGGAGGAATAGGAAGAGAGACAGGAGGAGGGAGAGGATTCGCGGGAAGATCTTGGGGGGAGATCTGGTGGAAGATCTAAGCGTAGATCTGGAGGAAGATCTTGAGGAAGATCTGGGAGAAGATCTGGGGATAATCTAGGCAGATGAACAAGGAACATCTAGACGAATATCTGGAGGAAGATCAGTGGAAGATCTACGAAGATCTGGGGAATATCTGGGATAAGATCTGGAGGAATATCTGGGGAAGATCTAGGAAGATCCGGGGAACATCTGGAGGAAGATCTGGAAAACATCTGGAGGAAGATCTAATGAAGATCCGGGAAGATCTAGGAAGATCTGGGGGAAGATCGGGGGGAGATCTAGGGGGAGATCAAGAGGAAAGTCTCGAGGAAGATCTGGGAGAAGATCCAGAATATCCAGAGGAAGATCATGAATAATATGCCAGCGTTAAGAAACTTGGCCAGCTTTTGGGAAGTCGTTACCGAAATTTGCAAGTGTTGAAACCCAGCTTGGTGGTAGGGAGCTTCTTAACATAATATATCAGTGTATCCTCAACCCCCTGGTCTAAAACTGCCAGCGAAATATTCTCAGCCCCCTGGCCTAAAACTGCCATCGACGTATCCTCACCCCACTGGCCTAAAGCTGCCAGCGATCTATCCGCACCCAGCGAAATGTCCTCATCCACAGGAAATAAAACTTCCATCGAAATATCCTCACTCCCCTGGCCCAAAACTGCCAGCGATCTATCCTCACCCCCCTGGCGAGAAACGGCCAGCGAAATATCATCATCCACCGGAGATGAAACTGCCATGGAAATATCCTCAAGCCCCTGGCCTAAAAAGGCCAGCGAAATCCCACCAGCCCTGTGGGCGTAGGTGGTCTAGGGAGTTTCCTCTTCCAAACCCCCTTCTTCCCATTCGGGCAAGGGTTTACCGTTTTACCCCTCCCCCCCACCCCCTCCCCTGGACCTGGACAGGGGGGGGCGGCGGGTAGTTGGAGTGTCCAAGGTGGCCCAAGACGCCTTTTCGCCTTTTCGAGTCCGATGGCCATCCGAGGCCTCAAGAAGGCTCCAAGATGGCCCAAGAGGGCTTCAGGAGAGGCCCAAGGGAGCCCCAAGACGGCCCCAAGAGCGCCCAAGAGCGCTCCAAGCGCGCCCCAAGAGCGTACCAAGAGGCGGGCGACTCTTGGGGCTTCCGAGGGGGGACCCTAATTGAAGCTCCCCTCTTCTTTGATCGACCTCCTCCAATATGGCCCAAGAGCGCCTCAAGAGGCGTCCAGGAAGCTTCCAAGAAGCTCCCAAGAGACCCCAAACATGCCTCAAGAGGATGCCCGAGGCACCCAAGACGCTCACAGACGGCCCTGGGCTCGCCAAGATGCCCCTTCTCCTCTTTCTCCTTCTCCTCCTCCTCCTCCTCCTTCTCCTTGTCCACTGTCTCTTCCTCCCTCCTCCTCTTCGCCCTCCTCCTCCTCCTTCTCCTCCAACATCCTCCCCCTCTTGGGGTATCGGACGGCTCCCCCCGCCCTCTGTTCTTCTGCATGCTCCCCCATTCCCTGATCACCTCAACTCCCCTGGGCATCGTTTCTGAATGGGCTGGTGGGGACACGCGAGTCGTCAACAATTTCCGCAAGCCACTGGCCTAAGACTGCCATCGAAATATCATCACCTCCCTGGCCTAAAGCTGCCACCGATCTATCCTAACCCGCCATGGCGTAACAACTGCCAGCGAGACATCCTCACCCGCCCTGGCCTAAAATTGTCAGCGAAATATCCTCATCACCCCCCCTATGACACCCGCCTCGATCCCCCCCCCTCGCCCAGAAGCAACAAAGCAGTCGCCGCGAGTCTTCTCCACAACGAGAAGAAGTTTGGCCTTCTCCTCATCCTTCTCCTCCTCCTCCTCCTCCTCCTTTTCTTCTTCTTCTTCTTCTTCTTCCTCCTCCTCCTCCCTGTTTTTCCTCCTCCTCCTCCTCCTCCTTCACTCCCTCGTCTCGGGCGGGTGGTAATGGCGGGTGTAGAAGCGGGCCCTACAAGGGGCCCGTCAGGCCCCCTTTTGACCCTCTGCTGGCTCCAACATGCAGCATAAAAGGTACTTTTGGGGGCCCTCCCATTACCACCCAACAGATCCTCCCTCCCCACTACAATAACACAATATGAATACTACTCTCCTCTCTCCATTGATGACGTCCAGAATATATCCGGTCCCCCTCCGCGTACTGTGTTTTTGCACACAAGATTCCCGGCAAATGGATGTTCGATTTTTTGTGTCAAAATGCTGCTACCGCTGAAGCGCTGGCCGCATTTCTGCGCCTCTGGTTGTTCTAAATCGTGCTCCCGCTGCAGCGCGGGCGTTTTCGGTCCTTCCAGATCGGCCCCAAAACATAGCAAATGCCCTCCCCGAACAAAAACATCAGAAGCGATTCCTCATTCGGTGTCGATTCGTTGATTTTGTTAGGCTGCAAAAGCCCCCCCCCCACTTTGGGGCGTCGTCGTTTTCAGGAAGTATCAAGCGGGAGCCCCGTTTCTGCTTTGAGAAGGCGATGTTGGAAGCAGAGCCAGCGGGTACTCTCCATCAGCCCCGCCTTGTGTGGAGCTTCTCTGGGAGCCCAAGGAGCTAGACATGGAGTCACGACTCCAGACTGGCCTGAACCTCTCGAAGACGATCCACTTACCCTCCAAGGAACCCGGCGCCATGGCATGACATGCTGTGCGGGGTTGCTTTCTGCGCCGCTGTGCGATGCCACGCTTTGCGTTGCAATGCTGTGTGATGCAATGCTTCACTGCGCAATGCCACGCCATGCTATGGCATGCTACGCCCTGCCGTGCTCTTCTACGCCATGCCATGCCGTGCTCTACCATGCATCGCGTACCCTCTCGCGATCACTGCCCTGCTCGAAATCCCACTGTGCGAATAGAGAGGAGATCTACGCCCTGGTAAAGGATGGGAGGGAGGGGCAGGACGTCAGCCATGACGCGAGCGCACCTATAGCTTGCCCCTCCCCCTTCCGCTCAGGAGGCCCGGGGCTGCCGCGCCAATGCGCGCCCCCGCGCGCGCGCCCTCTGCCGCGCGCGCGCCGCGTCTTTTTTTTTGGGCGGACTCTCCCGGCGCCCGTGCGGCACGACCGCGACCCGCCTCCGCCGAGACAGAGAGTATACAGGAGTACAGTCGAGGTACTGCCAAAAAAGAACGCCACAGAAGGAACGAGACCTCTTTGTGGCGCCAACGCCGCCCCGGGCCCTTTCCGAACCCAGAGCGGTCCTTACTTCAACGTCCAGCATGCACTCGGCGAAACGTGCCCATGCGCACAGGAGGTACACACGGTCAGCTGCAGGCGATGCACAACGGTGATGCGCGTTCGTTCCGATGAACACGTCCTTCTCCAACCTGACCTTTCGTGGGGCATCCCAATATTTCCGTGAGCCTACAAACCCGTGGCGAATGACACCCTCGCCCTCCTCCCGTCTTCTTCCCCGCCCCTTGCGGATCTGCCAATCTCTCCTGGCGCATGGCCGGCCCCCGCGCGCTCCTGGTGAGACGAACAACTGGGTGATGGCACTCTGCCCTGCTTGCGCAGATGACCACGAAACCGTGCACAAATGCGCACGCATGTCTGCAACTGTGCACTCTCATACACGACGGGGGAGAGGAGGGAGCAGGGGTCCGTCGCGCACGTCGCGCACCTCAGCACTGCGGGTTGTAGCCGGTGGCGCGCCCGTGCTCTCCCTGCGGGCATGCGCTCAAGACCTTTTATAAGCTCCAGCCGCTCCCTCTGCCCTGCGCAGGCTCCGCAGCCAGCCTTTCAGTCGTCCTGTATCGTGTGCAGTAGGGGTCCGACCATGAGAAGCCTTCCACAAGAAACCCAACCCTGAGACCCCAGGGCGTCCACTGAGTGTCCGTGTGGGAACGTCACGCTTTCCATGGCAATGCCATCTAAACCAAAGCAACCCAGGGCACCCTGGTGGCAAGCAAAGGGTTTCTTGGCATGGCCCCCCCCCCTGTACGGTGTAGCTCAATCTGGTACGTAAGTTGAGGGGTCTGCAGAGGAGGGCCCCAACGTTTCAATCTTCCGATCCTCCTCCCGCATTCGAGGGGAGGGGTGGGAGGCGGTGGAGGGCGAGGAGGTGGAGGGGAGGACGGCCCTGACATCCTCGCGTCGTGAAAATATATGTCAACTCGTTGCTTTTGTTTTACGTGCTCGGCTACTGGGGACCCTGACACGGGTCCACACCAGTCGGGAGCCACGTCAGATGCCTAGGGATGGAAAGGAGGCAGGGTCTCGGAGGGGGTGTGGCGGGGAGTGGGAGGATGAACGCCCCCTTCTCATCCTCCATCCTCTTCACACATGTCCTTCCTCTGAACTCCTACTCCTCCATCCTCTTGTTCCTTCACCTGATTCCTTCATCCTCCCCATCCATCCATCTTACACCTCCTCCATCATTACCCCACTTCCTCCATCACCCCATCCTCTTCCTACACCTTTCTGCGTTCGATAATCCTCCTCCTCCTCCTCCTCCTCCTCCTCCTCCTCCCCTGTCTGCATCCCCCCGCGCATATACAGACACACATTTACATTCTACAGTCACGTCCATATATATATATATATACACACATACATATGCATCTATATACGTATACCTATCTATATATGTACATGTGTATGTGTGTGTGTGTGTGTGTGTGTGTCTGTGTGTGTATGCGCCATCGTGCCCTTGAGACACGAGTCTGGGTGTCCTCAGGTCCCTTGCTGGTTCCCCTGGAGCCCCAGTCTTCAATCCATCAGATTCCTGAAAGGGGGCGGGACCCAACATTGCAAAGTCTGCGGGGGCGCGCCGCGCGGCCCCTGGGGCCCTTTGCGTATTGTCGCGTGACTTTTCCGAGCCCAAGGCGGCCCCATGAGGGGGAGGGCAGCAAGGGGGAGCCCCCCCCCTCCTCGTCCTCCTCCTCCTCCTCCTCCACCTCCACCTCCACCTCCTCTTCCTCCTCCTCCTCCTCCTTCTCCTCCTCCTCCTCTTCCTCCTTCTCCTCCTCCTCCTCCCCCTCATCCGCCTCCTCCTCCTCCTCCTCCGCCTCCTCCTCCTCCTCCTCCTTCTCCTCCTCCTCCTCTTCCTCCTTCTCCTCGCCCCCACAACGAGCCCAGGTGGCCTCGAATCGCCGAACGATCGGCCCAAGATGTTCAAGACGGCTCCAAGACGGCCTAAGAGGCCACCAATCCGCCCCCCAAGAGGCCCGCAAAAGCCTTCCCACGAGGGCCCTGCGAGGCCCAAATCCCACCAGCCCTTTAGGGCGTAGGTGGTCTAGGGAGTTTCCTCTGCCAACCCCCTTCTTCCCCTTCGGGGAGGGGTTTACCCCTCCCCTTACCCCTCCCCACTGACCTGGACGGGGCCGGTCGCGAGGTGTCAGAGCGTCCAAGATGGCCCAAGACAGCTCCAAGAGCGAACAGGCGAGAAAACACAAAACATTGATTTTACCTAGGTTTTGGAAGGATTTTGGCATCTTGGGGGGGCCCAAGAGGCGACTCGAGGCACTCTGGAGGGGCGGGGCTAATAAGCACCCCCCCCTTCTTTGATAGATCTCCTCCAAGATGGCCCAAAGAGCGCCCCGAAGGCTCCCAAGAGCGCCCCAAGAGCGCCTCAAGAGGGCCCCAAGAGACCCCAAGAGGCCCCCAAGAAGCCTCCAAGACGTTGCCAAGAGACCCCCAAGAGGCCCCAAGAGAGTCCAAGATGACCCAAGACGGCTCCAAGAGCGAAAAGGCGAGAAAGCAACAAACATTGATTTTACCTAGGTTTTGGAAGGATTTTGGCCTCTTGGGGCGCCCAAGAGGCGACTCGAGGCACTCTAGAGGGGCAACGCTAATTGGGGACCCCCTCTTCTCTGATCGATCTCCTGCAAGATGGCCCCAAGAGCGCCCCGAAGGCTCCCAAGAGCGCCCCAAGAGCGCCCCGAGAGCGCCCCAAGAGGCCCCAAGAGGCGCCCAAGAGGCCTCCAAAAGGCTCCCAAGAGACCCCCAAGAGGCCCAAGAGGCTCCCAAGACGGGTCCAAGAGCGAAAAGGCGAGAAAACAAAAAACATTGATTTTACCTAGGTTTTGGAAGGATTTTGGCCTCTTGGGGGGGCCCAAGAGGCGACTCGAGGCACTCTAGAGGAGCAGCGCTAATTGGGGACCCCCCCTTCTTTGATAGATCTCCTCCAAGATGGCCCCAAGAGCGCCTCGAAGGCTCCCAAGAGCGCCCCAAGAGCGCCCCAAGAGGGCCCCAAGAGGCCCCAAGAGGCCCCCAAGAGGCCTCCAAGAGGCCCCCAAGAGACCCCCAAGAGGCCACAAGAGGCTCCCCGAGATACGCAAGAGGCCCCCGGGACCGCCAAGAGGCCCCAAGGACGGCCCAAGAGGCCCCCAAGCTCGCAATTGTCCTCCTCCTCCTCCTCCTCCTTTTTCTTCCTCCTCCCTCCTCCCCCTCCCCCTCCTCCTCCTCCTCCTCCTCCTCCTCCTCCTCCTCCTTTTCCTCCTTCTCGTCCTCCTCGTCCTCGCAGTCCTCCATCTCCTCCTCCTTCTATTCCTCCTCCTCCTCCTCCTGCTCCTCCTCCTGCTCCTCCTCTTCCTCCTCCTACTCCGACGACGACGGCTCCTCCTACATCCTCCCCCTCTTGGGGTATATGGCGGCTCACCCCGCCCTTTGTTCTTCTGCATGCTCCCCCGCTTCCCTCATAACCTCCACTCCCCTGGGACTCATTTCTGGACGGGCTGGTGGGGATACGCGAAGCGTCTAGAATTATTGAATCCCATGGGTTCTCCAATGTTCTTTTGGGGTTCAGGAGGCCCCCCAAGAGGGCCCCGCGACGGCCCAAGAGGGTCCAGGAGGGCGCCAAGACGGTCCAAGAGGCGCCCAAGACGGCCCCAAGAGGGGGAACACGAACCGATAAGCCGAGCCTTCCACCCCAACGACCGACCAGGAGGCCCCAAGAGGCCCCCCAAGGCCCCCGCCTGGCCCCAGGGGAGACCCCCCAAGAGGCTCCAAAGACGCCCAAAGGGGCTCCCAAACCGCCCCCCAGAAGCTATCTGAGGCTCGAGAAATCTACGGGAGGTTTGAAGATCGGGGGGACGCAAGACTCGGGTGCTGGGGACTCGGGTTGGCCTGACGAAACCCAACCTGAAATTTGACGCGGGCTCCCGCTGCAAACATCCCCCGAAAACAGGACAGTAAAAATCCAAGACGCGCTCGTCAACAAAAACGTAGGCGAACCCGAGTTCTGGCTTACTCGAGTCTTACGTTTCCCCGAGAGGAGGCTATGGGAACCATGGAATCTATGGGACGTTGGAGGCAGGCTGTGTGAGGGTCGAAGAGGCATAGCAGCACCCCGGCAGCCTCAACAAAACTGCCTCCAGGGAGGCCAATGGGGGGGCTCGCGCACCGAGGCCGACTCGCACGTGCCGCGGGCGAGGGGGGCCAGGGAGCGCCCCGAGCGAGGATCGCGGGGAACGAGAGGGGGGGATAGCGAAGGGCACGGCAAAGAATCGGCTCACGCAACTGACTTACTTTCCCAGCGCCTCCCGGCGCCTGTGTATCGAGGCAATGGGCCCGGCGGCGGGGCCGAGACCAGCTGCATGCAGCAGATTTCGTACCCCCCCTTTCCCGATCCCCCCCCTTGCCGTCGCTCGGACGTCCATTTCCCGTGCATGTTTCGGCTTCGTGCGTACTTTTTTTGCTCGATGGTCCAGGATGGTCCTCGATGGCTCTCGCCGAGAAAAGATGCACACGTCCGAGCGATGCCACGCCCCTTTCGTGCGGCCCGCGAGGACGAGGGGGGCCGCGAGACCTGGGAGATCTCGTGGCCCTCTGGCCATGGCGCCCCCGCCCCCCCTTTTCGCTTGGCAGCTCCTGGGGGCCTCCCGTGCCATCCTGCCGGCTCCTGCGAAGGCGACGCTGGCCGACGCCAAAGCGACGCTGCATCGAGGCCCAATCGACGCTCATCGGCGCTGGCCGACGCCAAGCCGGCGCGGTCTCTGCGACTCCAGACGCCATAATCGACGCTGAAACGGAATTCAGAGGGGAAGTACACCAGGCTCAGGTCGGGCATGTCCCTCTACAGGAGGATTTAGGACGAAAAAACAAATACCCCAAGAACGGTCAAACATGGGCAAAGTACCGTCCCGGGACTATGTTTGGACTATCTTTGAATATTCCTCCTTCAGAGGGACGGGCCCGACTGAACACCAGGCTCCCAGATGACTTGCCACCGACCCCTTGGCGGTGGACCAACCTCCCTTCAGTAAACCTCCCCTTGAATAAAACGGCCTGGGACCGAAACCGACGGACCTGGACCCGCAGAACCCTCGCGAGCCGAAAATGGCCAATTCGCTAATCGACGTGTCAGGGCAGGAAGCCTGTCAACCTCCCCTTAAATAAAAAACGGCCTGGGACCGAAACCGACGGACCTGGACCCGCAGAACCCTCGCGAGCCGAAAATGGCCAATTCGCGAATCGACGTGTCAGGGCAGGAGGCCCGTCAGCCTCCGACGAGAGGGGCGGGCCTCCCCACGAGGCTCGGACGCCCCCCTCCCCAGAGATCCAACGTATTGAAATTTGAAGGCAGTTTTCAATACATCGGATTTTTAATCATATATGATGTTTGAATGCATGACGATGTATGAATACATTTATGCATGAACTCATCGTTGTTTTTAAGACTAAATTCCTTCATTTTGAATACATGATCCCTTCATTTTGAATA